TTACTGTACACTAAGTTGACATCCTATCGGTCGCAGAATTGTAAAAAATACATATAAGCGGTCTTACTGTTTTGTGCAGAATTATAGTCGTAGTTCAGACACAATCAATCTAAGGAACTGCGACGTTTCCAGTCATTCACTGGGATCACGCGAAAGTTGTAGATTGGTGTTTAATTGACAGAGGACAGAGAATCGGTTGGTTCAAATAAGGTAGTTGTCAAAAGGGTCTAAAAATGACTGACAGAAAATAGTTGGATGCAGAGATGTACTGAGTTCAGCAAACATGTAGGCGGATACATAGAAGCAAGATTTCATGCTGATTGTTAGCTTGAATAGCCACATCTAGCAAACACTCATTCAGTGAAAACACCGTGAATAATTATTGATCGGAACATAATCGAACAGCGAAAGATTTGAACATTTTCACCATAACTTGATAAAAAGTTTATACCAAATGTTATAGTTTAGGTTTTAATCAGTTTCAAGTTGCTCTTTGAAAAGATAGCATCAGCTCCGTACGCAATACAGCATGGCCTCTGCAGGATTAAAACAGAGCTGAACTCGTATTTTTCGGGCTACCTACAGAAACCAATATAATTAAGAGAGTAAATAAATAGCTTGACGTACCTCTTAAAATAGTTTCTAACGCGTTAGGTCAGAACTTATGCATTCGATTTGTATTCAGAAAAAAGGTGTACAGAGTGAAACCGAAGTAAAAAGGTCCCTGAATCATTTAAACAATGAAATGCAATAATGGCGCATTTGTTACACTACTGACGGAGTCAGGGCGAAACCAAGTATTGGATTGGATCAGGAACTACAGTTTAATAGAAAGAACTGAGTTCAGCCCATTCCGTATCTAACAGAGAATGGACAGTTCGAATGAACCATAGCATTCAATTTAACCGCATAGCAACAGTAGTTTGAAAGTTGTTCAGCTAGTAAAAATTCAGAGGGACTAGCTTGGCGGTATACAAAAATGTGCACTAAGCGATGCGAAGCACAAAAATAACTTTTTCACAGTGTAGGACAATGGGGAGTGCGTGCACACTAAGGAAAGCAAAGTGCACTGCATTTACATTGAGAAACATCGAGTTAAGCTTATACATACCGATTTCATAAATCAGTTTCTCGTAGTTTCATCGGCTGAATGTCAAACAGAGATGAGAACAGGATGAGGATACACATTAAAGACAGAGGGACGAAAAACCGCGGAAACCAGTTTGTTTGTGCGAGACTATTTGCAATGAATTAGGTAGCAGCTCCAATATTTTGTGTTATGGGCATCCGAAACATGATCCAAAATGCTAAAAGATATTCTGCTTGTAAAACTTTACACCAGTTATGCATTCAGTCATTCAAGGTATGCGAGCGAGCTTAAATGATGTCACAGTATGCGAACCGTTTATTACTCAATTTGCTCTACTTAAACTGAACTTCTAAGAGTAAGATTAATGCCTAACATGGCGAATAATGTCGATGAATTAGTTTTACGTGGGTAAAAATAATTGCGCACCCGTTAGTACACAGTGAAAGGAAAACCAACAAAGGAAGAGCAGGGCGATTTCAAAAAAAGTTCAGCGCAAGGTAACCGGAAGAGGCCGAGGATTTCATGAGGGATATTTACATAAAACGCAGGAGTCGTGAACAAGAAACAGGGCGATGGTTGCGCTGCTTCGTCGATGAATCCAAATTGTGGGTGACCGCAAACGACACATCCTTTTTGGTGGAGGGCTGCGTGTTTAAAAATAATCAGACGTTTGATATAGATACGCGTAAATGACTTACCTGAATGCTTGTACTCTCTGTCGGAGTCAGTGCCGTTCTATCTGCCGGCATTTTGTCTTCCGCCTAAAACGTGTAAACCCAGAACGGGAACCAATTTACAAGAAGTAAATCTGAGAAGGGGAAAGTATCTCATATGGCTATTCATTGAACGAATATGAAGTGAAACTAAGGATAAATTCTAGTAAACATAGGACGAAATCCAGATAATAATAAGCATATTTATCCTAAATGGAGCTGGAAAGTTGGTAAACATTAAGCTCATAATATATACTATATATACTACTAATTGAATTAATAAACCAGAAGTATACATTGTCCGGACCGGTCGAATTCGTCACTTCCAAGAGGGCATTCGCTCTTCGGTAGGAAGTTTAGAAAAGAGTACAATACTCCACGGGAATAAAAAAGCGTTTTCATCCGCTGCCTGCCTCGACAAACATCGCTCACCGTGGCTACCATGGAGAAAATCAATGCTACTATCCTCGCACGAGGATAGGGCTTTTTCAATAAGTACATCTATTCCAAAGTTAAATAGAAACTGAGAGAGGGCAGACCTGTCAAACACCACTTTCTTTAGTGAACTCGGGTAAAAAAGTGCCGTAAATTCAGACTCGGCTTAGGATGTTAGTAGAAAGAAACTGTAAAACTGAAATAAACTTCTCGGGCACAAACTTTAAAAGGAGGCAGCGCCAGAGCATAGAGCGGTCGAATAAGTCGATAGCCGCTTTAAGATCGAGGAAGATAGAAATGGTGGGTCTATGAAAGGAGTGTCTGTGTTCTAGAATTTGACGAAGAGTGAAGGTGTGGTCGGTACAACTTCGACCAGGTTTAAATCAACCTGGTTCACACCGCTTCCAACACCAAAGTACCTTTCGATTGGTTTCTATTTGCTTATTGAAAGCTTTCACGTTTGTGAAATTACATTTGGAAGAACTTTCAAGTTTATTTGTCAGAAATCAATCGTTTATCACCTGTGATTCGATTTGTTCTTTCTAGTATACAACTATTATTCTATCTGCACTTTCTGTTTTAAGCATAAATTCTACGCCCCAGTATGGTGCTAATGTTTCTGATATATCTGTAGCTCAAATTGCACTTTTCGCTTTATTTCCTTGGTACTCAGCCATCTTTTCTTCCTCGTCGTCACTTCCTGACGCTATCGTCTCTATATCTTCCTTGCACTTGATACCACACCATCTCGATACGAACACCTAAATTCTATGCTGAATGAACGCCTGTTCTCCCTGTAACTAATTAGAATTTAATCCTCTTCACGAAAATTCGGCTGATGGGCAAGTTTGTAGATTTGTTTATTAAACTGGGTCGACGATATCCGTCTCATTGCTCACCTTGCAGGTTTTATGAGTGCCAATGAACTCAAGGATGTATTGTTAAATTTGGAACCATTAAATCGAGTGAACCTAACAGACTTTCCTGATATTGATTGAACGCTGGCTGCACATTTGCACGGCTTTCTCAAATAACTGTGCAGGTGTGGAAAAACACAGCATACGTGAAAATCCTGAAGATCCACAGACACTCCTTGTCAAAGGATTCTGATGCCCTTCTAGTGAACTAATATCTTCGCTCATGTTTATCCAAGTGTAGCGTTTATTTATTTTCATAGCAATTGAATCTACGAGCTGTCTTTAGTATTTGCTCAAATGGTGTCTTCTGTCAGGTTGTAAGTTATTAACCTAACAGATATGCTCACTTTGAAGAGCTGTTTTCTTCTGAGTACTTTCAGTGGTAGAATTAGCCGGGGTCGAGATAGTATATATGTTTGAGGGTGACTGTTTTTCGGGGAGACACTGACCTGGAAATATGTATATGCATAATTACGATAATGCACTCTTGGAGTTATACTCTTGTATACTGTTTATTTGCACAATAACGTTTTGAGTAAATCTCATGATTATAAGTTGTATTTGTGGATGGGAAGCTATTAAACTCAATCTAAACCAACAAAAGACAACCGCCAAGTGGATTCTTTCCTTTTACAGCGATTTCACTCAGCCAATATTTTTTTGTGTTATCGTGGTAGCAGTAATTGTTTTACTTATTTTTATCCAATATAAAACGTTTCTTCAATCAATCAATAAATGAAATCAGTCAGTCTTCAGGAAAGGGATCACCTATGAGAAATTGAGATGACAATGGCAGCATTCGAATTCACGAATTAAAGGACATGGAATAAGCGGTTCCTACCATTCTGTGACTAACGAGAAGTGTATGGCATTATGTTTCGTTGCTGTTGTAACCCAGCCACTCATTGAAACATATACATGTCTGTAACGTTACTGAGTGTTTGGCCGATACTGACTGCTATCAGACGGGCACGCATGCACATCATGCCGATTTACTTTATCATAAGATGAGTGCGCCCCAATCAGAGTTAAGTTTTGAACAAACTGCTAGAATCTATTCGTTGACTGCAAGGCTGTCCAGTTTGACCGCATCCCCATTGCACATCATGCTGCAACTACAGTTGCCCATTTGCCCGTAAGCCAGCAGGCTTACGTACCTATATACGAGTGTATCCATGTGTCTACTCTGATGATTACTTATACTGGTGAAAATAGTTACCTGTAGACCGGGTTTTCGTACAATTACGTGCACAAAAGGTGTGGATTCAGATAGAAAATAATACCGTTCTAAAAGAAAACTAGAAACATCAAGTGAAAAATGAATAAGGTTCTGGGACATACGAAGAGTTCTGCATGTTGTGAATCGATATCCACCGGACAGACGAATTCCTCCTCAAGCACACTGCTTTTACGTCTTCGATGTGTTGAGAACAATCCACGTTTGCGGTTAATCTACAAAAAAGATATTCTTATTGAATTGAAAACGTTTAAGAATCGTTTTTGATCAAGTAACCAGACTTAAGCATGTCAAAAACCTATAAACATGAAAATTGATCCATCTGGAATAACCCAACCGCGTGAAATGAAGTCGTTGAAAATTCAGCTGAGTTCGCGCTTGATCTGTTTGAATGTAATCGGTCGGATGCGATGCACGAATTACAGAAAAAACATAAATGGAGGGTTACACTTCTTGGAATTACTTTCTTTCCCAAATATTGAATAACGTTTTACTCATTCCATCTTTCAATAATCCGATGAAAATTACTGTACTCCGAATAATGATTATCACAGAATAAAAACTGCAAGCTCTCATATAACAATCTCGGATTTCAAACCCACGATAGGTCAGTAGATTTCCAACACTGATGAATAGCGCAAAGATAACAAAATCCAAGGCTGAGGTTTTCCGACTATATTGTTGATTTGATGAATTTCGAGGTGATCTGGAGGAAGAAGTCTCAACAACTTAATGTAATGCAATTCAGAGTCCACCTTAATATTGGTTACCCCAACAGGAAAGTGTCCTTTGGCTGTTATGCTTAACTAAATAATGCATAAACAAGACAAAAAATGATTATCAGTAAAACACAAATACAGGTGAATATACTTGTAGGAATGTGAAAAAGGAGTGCGATTATTACTTGCCTTGTTTTTTGAGTGAGTAGTCAGTGGCGTCATTTCTGGAGTTTCACTCACTGCCTGCTTTCTGTCCCAAATGTGCTCACCTACCAGTTCCATGAACTTATTGGCCAAGTGGCGTCGAACCAGTGTCTTGGTGGATGGAATGTGTAAAATGCTAGCCAACAAATCGGGGGTAAAACGATCTTCAAGTACCTGGGAAGTTTAGATAAAGAGATGATAACTGTGGCATTTCATTGAATAGAAAATCAACATTAATTTCATCGGTCCTGTAGAACTTCAAGCGGTAAATGCCAGCGGAAGTACAAGTATTACGAATAACTAGTGATGGTTTGCGTAGATTTCTCTAGACATGTAAGGTTTATTTATTTGACGGCTGTGGTAGACAGATAGATTAGGAAACCAGCCATCCACGAAACTGTGATAGGCGATATTCAAAAAATGGGTAAACCTTCGAGTATGAGATGGCAACGGAAAATAGACTAGTAAGTTGTTTATTATCAAGTAAAAATGGGTATGTGGCCTTTTTTACAATGTAATCAGCGATAAGAGAAGCGATGAATTCTACCACTCTTGCTGTCATCATTATTACTACAAACAATACTGAAGCCGCTTTTCTACTATCATTATCACACCACCTTCATTGTTTCGGCATAGAGACTCACCATCAAGGCACCGTGAACACCACTTCCACATAATTCTGGTGCATATTCGGGTAACTCAATCTGGTGAAGCCAAGCCATGACTCTATACTGAGACCAATAGCACACATGTAACGGGAAGCGTTTACTACGCACAAGGCTGCTTCGTGAATTGGATCTGGCGGGCGTGTTTGATGTGTCTCCGGCTGCCTCAACAACCAATGAACTATTAGAATGAGTTTCCTTAGCAGTATCAACGTTAAGCGCATCGCACTTTGTATTGGTCTCTTCTGCATAGGGTCGGGTTGGAATAAGAAAAAAACTCGGTCACTGAAAGAAGATCACCAAATTTAATAGAAATGAGAGACATTACATGTGGTGAGTGAGTGAATCGATGTGCAATAGGAACTTGTCAGAAATACTGAAGCATTTTTCAAAGTCGGTGATGATATTTTAGTTTTCTGTTTCTAGCGTGAATCGTTTTGAGAGATTTAATGTTTATATTATTTATGTAAAGCGCTTTTCAGGGCTTTCAGTGACACGTGACGCGTTGACTCGACATGATGAATAGGCTTCTTTCTTCTAAGTAAAATAAAATAAAATTTAATAAATGTTCGCAAATAACCACTCCATTTCAAAACTCTTTTAATGGACACCGGTTGAAAAGTTAAATTCAAAGGAAGCGGCATCATCAAATGCTGAGTTCTATAAGAGAGGTAAACTGTTTGGGAAACAAGTGAAACACCATTTAGGAGGATGAATATGAGTCATAGCACTTCTTTTGACTTACGAAAGACAGAAGACGATGAAGAAATATTGCATAACTAAGACCGAAATTTGCCTGAACCAAATAGAACTGTTTCTCGGTATGATCGGCCCAGCAGCTCAAACCAAAAGGTCAAACTTCCATTCTCCTGTATATTGCCTCATAAAGAAATGGTCGATTCAACGGGATTGCTAAATTTTTAAAATAAATTCTGAGAGTACCCAAGACACTGCCAGTCGTTTCAGTTTGCTATTTGTAATGTTTGCCATGGACTGATAAATGAATATAATTAAATTTATTAATTAATTATAATTAAATAATAATTCACGAAAGTAATGCTCTGCTTCAGTTTATTCATTCGGGTTGACTGAATGGGGAACATGCAAATCATCAATGGTAAAACCAAGTATGTGGATTACCAACTCTCTACTATAGCAGTCAGGCTCAAAGCAATACCTAACCAAATTCTATGGATTTTAGAAAACCACCGGGACAATATAAGCAGTTTTGAAAAGTACAACTCATTTTATTTTTTTCCAATGCAAGAGAAACTTATCGCTCTTTCTGACACTCAATGGAACGCATAAATTTGATAATCCTTAATAGATGATATATCGTGAGTATATGTAATGTCTAAAGAAGTTAATAATATGCCTTAAAATAATTTTTGTTACAACTTTAAAATGAATGATCTTTAAAATATATTTCTCACAATGACTATATTTTTTCTCGGACCAGATCAAATGGTAAACTCAAAGCCATCTGACAACCGCAAACCAGGATTTAAAGCAAAAGGTCATACTTTGAGTGTCATGTTCCTGTTTTCCTCCGTTTACACTGGACCAGATGACCTCTTCGACACTTCCGGGGCCGCGGCAGATATGAGAGATGTCATACTTCATCCGACGTAGCATTTGCAATCCTCGACGGAGACTGAGGAAGTGCAGTTCGCTTGTCATTTTCAACGTAATCAAATCATCCTATAACAACATATAGGTAACACAATGATAAAAGTGCAGATAATGCAAATAAAGAAAAGTATGCAGTAAATCACAGGTAATAGCAAAACATGCACTGGCTTTATTGAAAGAGTCAGTTTTAGGTAATTTAGAGCTAAAAGTTCTTTTGAAAGACGTTTCTCATGGTGTCTGCATTAAGTTTCTTCAATGAGTGAAATTGATGGTAACTCCAGGTGATAAGACAGTAAGTTTAGGTAAAGTTGCACCAAATGAATCTACATTCAACTTAGCAATAATGTGTTGTAAATTGATCAAAACGGGTTTCATAACGTATTAGATGTGGTACGAATAAATCGGCAAGACTTAACGGAAAAAGAAAAGTTCTTATGTATTGTACCAATCAATATAAATTTTCAAGGGAGACAAGTAGAATCTCAGCTAAGACTTCAGTGTTTCAGAGCAGTTAACAGTTATCAAATTTTGAGCATGATCGTAGCGGAGGACAATGACAACATTAGGTACGAGCAGCGTCGGCTGATAATGCTACTTTAACTTCCTGGCAATATGCACTTACAAATTAGCCATGAGTCACTGGAGTGTAACATTTATGATGTAAAGCTATACTGCTTGACTTGGTGAAAATCAAACGAAATATGTTAGCAATATGTAATCTGGTTGTTTGGAACTGAAATTGATAGTGAAACAGAACGGTATAAATGAAGACCTCAAAACATATGCAGTTAATAAAAGTCAAAGATAAAATGAGTGTTAATCGTACCACAAAATCAATGCTAAACACTTGGGAGAAAAGGAACTTACGATGGTGAGATGATTGAGGACCAACAAATCTACTGCCGCTGCATCGAATGCGGCGGTGTACGCCGTCAATCCAAGGTCATCCAGCCATGCTGCCACAAGGAAACCGTAAAAGGTTGGAGCAGCAATAAGTTCAGACATTATGTCAAAAAGAATAATTAATAGCATATTTCGCAGTCTGTTATTTTTTCTCCGTCCTAGACATTTTCACCGTCCCATCACTTATTCGCTTTACAGATAGACACTACTTGCGAGTAGTCAGACCAACACGACATCGAATGTCTTTCATTATTATCTTTTAACTTCCTCTTTTATTTGTTGAATATACAATGTACAGTCAACAATCAGGAAGGGGGCCGCGGCCATAAAAGGGCTGCCTGGCTTATGTGATGCTATTTCAGACGCCTCCTATAAGATAAGCAAATGAATAAAAGCCTAAATAGATATTACCTACGGTGGCATAATTATAAACCGCGCCGTTAAAGCAAGCCACATTATTCGGTTTAGTCATTTTCTACTATAAGTGTGTTTCTGAGTTGGTTTCATAGTGATCCTGCTTCTTTAAAATAAAAGCCTTTCGCTATTCAAATACAGAGTAATATGTTAGGAGTCATGAAGAACTAATTCGTGATGCCTTTAGTCGGTGGGTGTTGTTTTCACTGCTGTGCAACTGATCAGGTTGTGTGCTCTTGGATTATTAAAATCCTCTTCAGTACATCGAAAATGGTCACATATGTCTTGCAGGCATGGTATAAAAATAGAAAAGGACCACCAGAATTACGCCTCATACCATTTTTAAATAGTAAGGTGAAACGGTGCCCGCAGTAAGAAAACGTTGTTAATATACCATCTTTCTCAACTCGAACTCCACTTCCCTCTTCATCTTCTGGAGTCCACAACAACAGAACCGTTTCCCCAAAAAGCGTTGTCTGCACACCGCAGAGTGGTCGACGTAACTAACGGTTAGAAATCCAGCGGATTTCTAAACCGACACTTTCTAACCTGCTTTTACACGAACGCTTAAGGTTTCCTTAGTAGACTTCCTGAGGTGCAACCGCGCTTATAAACTGGTCAGTGGGATTTTGTTGCCATTACTGAAACTTCGTTAACTGCATATGTATATACTTGACTATGAATTGCACCTACCTGTAATCTTCCATCTGATATATGATTGTTCTATATATATATATATATATATATATATATTGTTCTGTTATATTTTCGCAGCAATCTTCAATATAATACACACACTTTGGTGCACAGTGAGTCTGTCCAAAGGTAGCAGTTGTTTGATCGGTGTAGCCTATCACTCTTCTGCATTCTCAGACTCAGCTAATGGGGCATTGTTGTAGACCACGAGATAAGTTCTCTCAATAATACTCATGTTTGTTCTCCTAGTGGGAGACTTCATTTGTGCCAAATTTATAAAACACCAGAACTAAAACCACCCATTCGAAAGACATTTAATAGAGTTTATCGATTTATCCTATGTTCAATCATGTAAAAGATCCTATCAGATTTGAAACAGGACACCTAACATCAAAGTTGTAATAGCTATTGACAAGGGAGAGACTCATGGTCGAATGTGTCAAAATCAAGTCTCTGTCAAACCGCAGCGACCATGTGGTTATGCTTTTTGATTACATTTACCAGGCTTCTGGAGAATACCGGAAAACCAAAACGTGTACCATTACTAACTACATAAAATTGCAGAAACTATCTGCTTTAAAGCGATGGACACGCCCAGAAGAACAGCTTGATCACTGGTGTTTTGGAACAGATTCATTCATACTTTAACAAAGCTTCTAAGGTTCACTAAAAAGCCAAGCCCATCGGTACACCACTTACAGGTTTATTAACTATTTGCAGCTGAGTCAAGAGATGGATATCATAGAGGAATTTCTCCTGGCGAGAGTTCAGAAGATGCCCAACAGCTGACACTTGGAATAACTGTATACTGTTGAGAAGCTTTTGTGTGAAATTAGAGCGAGAGAATAAACGGAAGTTTCCAGAAACCCTGAAACAAATTTATTTCCAATCCAAAACTTTTTTATAAGCATATCAATGCCACCAGTACTGGCATTGCGCCGTGCTAGACGCGTTTCTTTACTAAGTGGGAAGCAACCGAATTCCTTAAAGTCCAGTTCTATGAAGTGTTTGCTGCAGGTGATAAGGTTGGAGCACAGCTTCCCAACTGGTCACCGTCACCTTCGAATCTTACACGGTAACAGCCAAACTGTTGATGCTGCATAAAAATTTATCCCACGGAGAAAACAACAAGAGCACACAGACTCTGACATCCTTGTAAAACCACATATCTGAAATAATTGCTCATTTATACCAAAGAACGTTCGACAAGAAGAAGATTCCACAGTTTTGGAAGCAAGGTATCATTTTACCCAATTATAAATATGGAAGTGATCCCGCGAACTGCCGTCCAGTTACAGTTCTGTTAAAAGCAATGAAATCAATTGTTGTTTATAATCTGATGGAGCATTCCGAGAATTATGACATTCTGTCGCCCACCAAACACAGGTTTCGAAGAAAACGGTCGTGTACCACAAAAATGCTACTTGCAGGAGATGTGTGGACAAAATCAGTCGATGCAGGTGAGGCAGTATACGTATTCTACTTGGAATTTGCTAGAGCTTTCACAGATTTAACCACAGTATACTGCCGCAAAATCTCCATAACTACGGTGTCCGAGGACTTCTCCTTGACTTGACTGAGGAATTTCTTCCACAAAGAACTGTATCAGTTCGAGTTTATGGTTCACTATCGCGACCAATTGAGGTTGTCCACGGAGTTCCGCAAAGATCCGTGAAGATATAGGATGTTCCATACATTGCGCTAGAGCGTCATCAAAGGCGGTAAAGTAAGATTATTAAAACGTGTTTTTAAATGATTCAATGCAGACCTATTGCCCAGTTTACTATCAGCATACAATAAACAACACATCGAGTATGCTATACAGGGTTAGAATCCAAGGCTCATTCGCGACAAAAAGGCACTTGAAAGTTCACAGAGAACAGCAATCAAAATGATCAAAAAATTGCAATATAAAACCGTCGATGAAAGGCTTCGTATTATTGGACTCCATTCATTTGAATACCAGCGAATGTGAAGAAATATGATCAAAGAATATCAAAAACTACATCAACCTAACCACTTGCGCAGTACTATACTAACACCATCCAGGACTGCTCACCACAGAGGATTTCTATTCAAAATTTTGTTCCAAAAGAATAAGTTAGACTGCTGTCGTCACTCTTTCAGCCTCAGAGTTTTTAATACTTGAAACTTTCTTCAGCCCCAAGTTATTTGTGTTGCAACCATCGATTAGATCTTTTTTCTTTTTTCTCTTTTATTCGCTTTACTGAATTCACAAAAGTGCAATTTTCAGATAGGGCAAAGTGGCCAATCAGCGGGCTGCAATGCAACACACAAATTGGGGGAAGTCAGGCGATGGTGGTAAGATTGGAACACACGTCCCCCGGGGTGATAATTTGGTGGTGTTTCCACCGACCACCTCCCCTCGCCCAAGTCACGGCTCGATAAAGCCGTAAAACACCTGATTGTTCAGCCATCGTGAGTGAACGTAATAATGTTTTAGTTCATTTTACTACCAAACGAACCCAGATCCCAGATCCTTTGGGATTCAACAAGCATGCGTTTGTATTTTAACCACAATAAAAATTGAAAATCTGAATTTGTTTGGTTTACTTGTTTCTTAAGTAGTTTTTCATCTATTGTCTAGCGTTTTGTTTTAGTACATTGCTCAGCGGTGAGCAATACAGTGAATGAATGAAGACTACAGGAGGAGCGCAAAAAGAAAAGCAAACTTTTGTTTAAAACCACGGTAGGTTACCAACAAATAAAGGAGAGAAAATATGTGTGGTAGAATAATAGGCGGTAAATTCCAGGTTCTACTGAAGGTTGTATGATAAAGAAAAATGCTTTTTAACTTTTGCTGATCAGCCGCAAGTTAACTAGAAATCACCGTTCCTAATCTTACCTGTCATATTGAAATCGGCCGGGTATTTTACTCTTAACAAAGGAAATGTAGAATAAATCGAAATTGATTCTTTCGTTCGTAGCTGCAGGTGTAGATAGAGCTTTTTTAAATGCATTGGGTTTCGGATACCCATTTCCTGCAAAAGAAAGCAAAATTGGCAGTAATGTTAGGTAAACAAGAATTATGGGCCAATAAAACTTGGTATTACCCCCAAAAACTCAGAATACAACGATGACAATGAGCTAAATCCTTTTAGAATGATATGAAATAGACAATGAGAAGTTTCGAAGTGTTTGTCATCTTCTACCCAAAATTTCCATCGCATATTTTCTTTTTCTTCGGGAGGTGGGTGGGCGGGGATGGGAGTGGGTGGGGTGAGAATAGCGATCGCTATAGAAGTGAAATTCATATACAAAAACAAGAAGATCATCTGTTGCCCCTTCCGCTGAAGATTATGAAAAGGCCGATTCAAATATAACGTTGTGGCAAAGTTTCAAATGACCTTTCTTCATGGAACGTCGGAGGAAAAGAACAAAACCAATTAACCTAATTGACTTCTGGCAACGTGATATACTAGAAAAGATGCTGGTGTACCAAATAAGTGAAACTACCGACTACGGTATTGAAGTTCATTTCAGTAAACTACTTAATACTATCCATCAGATACTTTGTTCTTCACATGTTTTCACTTAGCTCAGATGAACTAAATGGGAAATATGCTCACTGTCTAACAGTAATCTTTTGATTTTCTCTTGCGTTTTGTCCTGTGCTTGAGGCTATTTTGGAATAAAACCTCCGTTAGCTTACAATACCATCGTACTCGGAAGAGAACTAAATTACATATGTATGTGATAGTACAGCTAAATCAATTGGTTGAAAGTGAAAATCATTTAAAGAACTACCATTCAATCCCATTTGGATGAAGTATAATGGGAAAGCTAAATGAAGCCCGAAATATAAACTAAATATAAATTGGTCTTTATATATAATTACTAAACGATCACTTAACAAGTTATTCACATTTGGACACTCAATATCACTTTTGGCATGAAGCAGTCTACCTTATTTTAGGACCTCTCACCTTCGCCGAGAAAGAGAGTGGAGTGGATTGAATTAGCTTATATGATATTCTGGATGGAAGTGCTAAATTGTTGGGCTTAAATAACTCGCTAACTATTCAAAACAGGCATTAAAAGCTATGGGTTAGTGTCAAATTAAGAGTAACACGTTTTTTGCTTTTGGAGCCCCCATTACGGAGTGAAGCCCCCTGGTTGACATAGTGCGATTTGATCGCGTAGACATACACGCAAACACGATCACACACCAAGGTCATCGGATTGAAATCACGCTTACATTATTATCAGTTGACCGCTATTTGGATGCGGGTCGCTAATTTCAGTTGCTGGCACTGATGAACAGCTCGTCACCAGCTGGAACTTGTTTTAACACAGTGACCTAAAAATTAACGAGCAGCCTGGTGTCGAATTACGGTTATAATTTGTTGCTAGTATGATTTGGAATACTGCAGAGCTGCGGAAATACCGTGCAACCATGCTGAAATTCGCGAAACAAGAAAGTCAGTGCAGTTAAGCTGTAATCGGTAAACATGAGAAGCACAAAGAAAACAAAAGTTACATTTTGCGAGAGCGAGAGAGAGTGAAACGAACTGTCACAATTTAATTATATGAGGGAAGTGAGTAGTTAATCACTAAAAGTGAATTCAATCGATAATTCAAGCCACCTATTACAAGTTAGACAGAAGTTGATAAACCATGTTCGTAAACAATGGAATTTGACTAAAATTTCATATATGACAAGCTTGTTTGATAATTTGTGTTTATATGACCAATCGAGTATTCATCTCGAATCCAACAAGCCACCCTTGTTTACTTAAGGAACTGAACTGAAACTCGGCACGGAACTGATCGTAGCAAACATCACTGTATCTTGTCTAGACCCATTCAATACATATATACTGTGTATTTTGGGAACGTAACTATATAAAGCGTCGTTCAAATCATACTGGATTTAACATTTGTTCCCTAAAGCGCTAATAATTTCTCGAACAAGATTAGTTGATCGATCGCTTTTGTTAACCGACGATATCCCCTAGTCAAACGTAAGGCATACCTACACCAATCAACATGTGAGAAAGTTGAACAGTTTTACAATTCATCAAAATAATTGACCTACGAAAATTGGCTACGAACTAGATGAAGCTCTGCAGTCCATTAGCTGCCATAAAAATTCGGAGCGCTTCTCAGGTAGTTCGTAAGAATCTATCTATCTATCTATCTATCTATCTATCTATCTATCTATCTATCTATCTATCTATCTATCTATCTATCTATCTATCTATCTA